GCAGGCACATATAATGTTCCAACTGTTACTGAAGTTGCAGTTGTTAGGGCTGGCGAACCATGTGAACGTCGAGATATTCGCATACAACGCAGAGATAATACAATACAAATAATTCAAGACAATCATCGTTCTTACGACGCAGTACAATATCCGTTGATATTTTGGGATGGAGAAGATGGATATCATTTAAATATTAAACAAAGGAATCCAACAACAGGCACAACTTATAGATTATTTTATAATTCTTTTTGAACCAATTATTTCTGTTTATCTTATAAATAGTTTTATTTACAGGTATCTTATAAATAGTTTTATTTACAAGAAAGTTAGTGCGATGAACTTCTATGCATACCGGTTGTTTATGCTTAAAGTAGTTTTCAAAATGAAATATAGATGGCAGTATAAAGTCACGTGAATAGTAAATGTTAATTTTTGTTTTATGTATATGTAGTTTTAGTTCTCTATGTGTTTGTCTCAATAAAGTTGTGTAATTAAAACCGGCATGGTAAGTGATTAATTTCCCCGAGACGAATAAACCTTTTTTCACCGGTTGATGATTCGTGAAAATGAAGATAATAACATTCTCCGATGCAGACAGCTATTTCATCAGTACATTGTTGATATGTATGTAAAAATCGAAAGTGAGAGATTGCGTTATATAAAATTCAATCAAGCGAAACTTCGTTCTGAGGAGTACATTCATTTGCGTGACGCCATAATCGGTAACGTAGATGCAACGAATGGTATCAACAACATCGGTACCGCATATATTCTTCTATCATCATACATTGGTAGTCCGCGTCATATGCAAGAATATATTCAAGACACCATGACTTACGTACGTGCATACGGCCGACCAGATCTTTTTATCACATTTACGTGTAATCCAAACTGGGATGAAATTAAAAATTTGCTGTTATCAGGTCAAACATCGATACAGCGCCATGATATCATTGCACGTGTGTTCAAACAAAAATTGAAATCTCTGATGAAATTGATTACACATCACTCGGTATTTGGTGAAACACGATGTTGGCTTTATTCTGTTGAATGTCAAAAACGAGGTTTACCTCATGCGCATATTTTGATTTGGTTGGTGGACAAAGTACGCCCAGAATCAATTGACAAAATTATTTCAGCGGAAATTCCAAATCCGAATGTTGATCAAGAATTGTTTGACATTGTGACTACTAATATGATCCATGGTCCATGTGGTTCTCTCAACATGATGTCACCATGTATGGATAATGGAAAATGTACGACACGTTTTACTAAACCATGTCAAACTGACACTATCACCAATATCGATGGTTATCTAACCGTCGTAGAGATGAAGACAATGGCGGTCAATCATATGAATTGCGTCTATCAAACGGTGTAACAGTTGACATCGATAATCGCTGGGTGGTTCCATACTGACCATTGCTGTGCAAAACCTATAAAGCACACATAAACGTTGAGTTATGCAGTTCATTGAAGTCTATCAAGTACATTTGTAAGGACGTTCATAAGGGCAGTGATAAAGTTACATTTGCTGTTCAAAATGTAAATAAGAATGACGAAATAACACATTATAAAATGGGACGATACATAAGTAGTAATGAAGCTATTTGGCGAATTTTTGCATTTCCTATACATGAAAGGGATCCTGCTGTTGTACATTTGGCTGTGCATCTTGAAAATGGACAGCTTGTTTATTTCACAGAACAGAATGCACTACAACAAGCTTTAACAGCTCCAAAAACAACTCTTACTGAATTTTTCAACCTTTGTAATCGACAAGATATTGTTGGTGAATTTGCAAAGACATTAATGTATACTGATGTTCCTAAATTTTTTACATGGAATAAACAATCAAAAAGTTGGGAACCACGGAAACGAGGCACTCCAGTCCCAGGATTTGCCGGCATAGTTATGACAAATACTTTAGGACGATTATATACAGTTCATCCTAAGCAACGCGAATGCTTTTTTCTGCGTTTGTTATTGGTTAACGTTCCTGGACCGACATCCTTCCAATACTTGCGAAAAGTCAACGGTACTTTATACGGCATTTACATTTATTGGAGTTTGATAACCACTGGGACCTCACACTTGCAGATGCAGCACAGAGCTCATCTCCACAGCAAATTCGTCAATTATTTTCAATAATATTGACAACGTGTTTTTCGTCTGAAGTATCTGCTCTGTGGAATAAATATAAAGACTCAAAGAATTACTAATCAAAATCTCAGTATTGAATTCTCCGCAGAAATATATAACGAGGCATTAATAATGATTGAGGATATTTGTATTCTTATTTCGAACATGACGCTCATAAATTTTGGCATGCCAGCTCCAATCCGCCAAGCAGCAGATATCATCAACAGCGACGTTCAACGTGAACACCAGTTCGATTTGACTTCTCTGGCTACTTTTGTTGCTAAC